CTGTGTCTGTGCGTGTATGTCTGTGTCTGTGTGTGTATGTCTGTGTCTGTGTGTGTCTGTTTGTATGTGTATGTGTGTGTCTGTGTCTGTGTGTGTATGTCTGTGTCTGTGTGTGTATGTCTGTGTCTGTGTGTGTCTGTTTGTATGTGTGTGTGTGTGTCTGTGTCTGTGTCTGTGTATGTCTGTGTCTGTGTCTGTGTGTCTCTGTGTATCTGTGTCTGTGTGTGTGTTTGCATGTATGTGTCTGTCTGTCTGTGTGTGTGTGTCTGAGAGAGAGGGACTTGCCTTCCTGAATGGCGGAGGTGTGGGACTCTCCCCGCTGGGTGACCAGCCCTCCAGGAGGAACTGGGTCTCCAGGTAGCTGGAGAGCCGCGGCCCCTCCCGCTCCCCCCTGCGGCTCCTGCCCCCTCCCCCGCCCGGCCCTGGACAGACAAACGGCCTGGGACGCAGCCACATGGGGATTCTTTGTTTTTCCGTACAGGATGGGCCAGGCCGCAATCACCGGTCCCTCTCTGCCAGCGCGGGGCTGTGCAGTCTTGAGCCCTCTCTGAGGGGGAGGCCGGCTTCCTGGCCAGGCCTGCTGGGAATGTCCCAGGCCTCAGACACCAGCTCTGGGGCCCAGGGAGGTCCGGGGCTGGGGACTCGCAGACCGGTGCCAAGCGCCTGATTATTCATTCAGTCCCCGTCAGGGAGGGGAGGCCGGCAGGTCCCGATCAAGGGAGCGGAACTCATGTCTCGGTTCGACCACTCCCTGGCGGGGCGACGTGCATGCCGTCAGGTCCCCAGGCCTCGGCTGGCTCGTCCCCAGAGATGCTGGAGAGTCCCAGCGCCAGCGCCCTGGACCCCTCTCCATTACCTCAGCCTTGAACACAGTGCTCCTCACACCTCAGACAGGGAGCCCTTCCTTTACATAAGAGGCCCCGGGGAGCCCCGACCCACGCACAGGCGGGAGAGCTCCCTGCGCCTGCAGAGGCGCAAGGCTCGGGGACCCCTGGCCCCACTCCCCTGGCCCTGCGCCCTGGGGGCGCCCAGGAATAGTCAGAAATCATTCCTTGAGACTCAAGGTAGGAATCCCAACCAGCTCACCTGCATGTCTACCTCCCCAAAGCCTGTCTTTAAAGAGGAGAAGAAAGACGCCGAGCTTGGGTACAGACAGCTGCCCGGTTGACCTAAGAGCCCTTCGCGGGGCAGGGAGGGGCCCCTGCTGTGCGGCCATGACACTGCTAGACAGTCACAGACACCCCGCGCCCCAGAAGGCACGCGATCGCCAGCGCCACCCGGCCTGGCCTCGGCGCCCGGCGAGAGGCGAGATGGGATTTTGAGAGGAGCCGGCCGCGGTGCGCGTGAGGTGGTGGCGAAAGACCAGACGTCATGTTCACCTTCGAACCACCTTCGGACAGGTGCATGTCCCACTGTGCAGGCAGGAAAGCGAGCGCGGCTTGCAGATGTTCGGTCATTTGCCCAGGGCACGTGGTGCGGTCCGGCGGAGAGTGCGTCTCAGCCGCTCACCAGCACCCCACAAAGCTTGCCTTGTGCCCTCCAGAATGCCAGGGGCAAACAGCGCGCCCCACGCCCTGCCCACGGAGGCGGGCCAGGGTTCCAGCCCCGAGGGAGGGCAGGATGGAAGGACCTGGCGTCCGTTCAGAGCCCTACAGGACCAGCTCCTCCCTGGGCCCACAGCCCGAGACGCCACCGGGGCTGCAGGGGGCATGACTGAGCCCAGACCGCCGGCTGCGCAGCGTCCAGCCAGCAGCTTGCCTCATCCCCTCACTGGCCAGAGGCGGCAGGAGCCGCCAAAGCCCTGGCCATTGTGGGTGGGGTCCAGGGCAGTTTGAGTGGCAGCCTCGGGTTGTCCAAAGCCAGCCGTGAAGCCCAAAGCTCACAGCAGGCGGCGCTCAGGTCTCCCTGCCACACCTGCTGGGGGCCTGGTGCTGCCCCTGACGCTGAGCTTCATAGCAGCCCCTCGGCGTGAGAACCAGAGCTGGCAGCAGATGGAGTCCAGCTCCTGGCGGCCGGCCATGCGGGCGGAGAGAAGTGGGTTCAAGTCCCAGCTCAACGGCTTGCTAAGCACCTGCATCTGCCCGTCAGGCGCCACTCGGTGGTCTCCGCTGCCCTCCCACCTCCTCCCCTGATGAGGTCCCGGAACCCGACCCGTTCCCCCAGTCCTAGGCTCGTGGGTCTCTTTCCCCCTTCCTACGTTTGCTGTAAACAAAAGTAAACTGAGATTTCCTACTTTTCCCCAAAGGACGTGATAAGCATGACAACCGATGAGATGCGTTTGGGGGCCTGCATAACACCAGGAGGCTGACCTTGCAGGGGTCCGGCATGCCGTGAGTGGGAGGACACCCCAACCCCTGCTACGTTGTCACGCTACCTCCCAGATCAGCAATCGGGGGGCAGGCTCCCCGTGGGCGGTTTGGCCCCGCAGCCGGCAGCCGTGACCAGTACCTGTGGTGCACGTGGCGCTGCAGGGCTCGTGGGACGAGAGTTTCCACCGGTACATGTCCGCTGGGCTCACGCCTTGCTTGCGGGTCTTCGGTCTGGTCCTGAGCACAAGGGCAAGCAGAGAAGGCGTGAGAAGCCACAGGGCTCGCCGACGGTGAATTTTCACCGGAGGGTGTGTTCCCATCCATGGGGGCGGCTGTGCTCTTATGTGACAGCACACCTCTCCTGAGCCCCGACGGAACCCCACCTGCTAGGGGCAGAGCACCCACTGTCTAGGACCGGGAACGGGAGGGAGCGCCCCCAGCTGGCGGGGTTTAGGATGGAGGGATGTCATGTCTGCTGTTTGCCCATCTCAATGGCTTAGTCTAAGTGCATCGTATAGCAGCCCTCGAAGCTCCTTCGTGGGGTGCAGGTGAAGAATCCGGGGCTCACCAACCTCGTAACCCCTCCACACATGCGGGTTTCCCACCGTTCGCTTCTAGCATCTTCTCCCCCAGACCCCTCTCCCGGAAGGGATGTCAAGAGGCACCTTATGAGCTGGGAAGGTGCCGGCCTCTCCCGCAGCCTCCCTCGGCCAGGATCCTGATCAAAGGGGGACGCTAGCCATTCAACGCCGACGATGGAAATGGAAAGGCACAGCACATGGGGGGGCGTGGCCGTGGCCCCTGCAGACGCCCCTGCCCAGGTCTGCCATGGCTGCCGTGCAACGGGAAAGGCACGCAGCCTCCCCGCCAGCGAGCGGCCAGGATTCTTGGCCAGAACTCGGGCAGCCGGAGCCAGCCATTGTTAGGCCCGTTTGCTGCTTTGATCCAGTCGGTGTGCTGGGCCCAACCTCAATATCCGATGTGCAGGCTGTTTGGGACTCAGCAGGGGAGGAGGGAAGTGGCTTCGCGGCAGGGCCTGAGGCCTGAGACACGGGCAGTCCGGCTTGGGGGGGGCGCCCACGGAGTCCCGTGACCCCCAGAGCCAGAGGAGGGGACGTGGCGTGACGGCCCGGCTGCCGGCAGGTCATCCAGGCCTCGTCCCCCTTGGCACTGAGCACCAGCCCCGACTCCCGCTCCGTCCGGGCCCAGGGGCCACAGCCGGAAGAGGGTGGCAGCGAAGCGCACAGGCCTCAACTCTGCTGCCAGCACAGACGAGGCCGCAGGGGGCTCGTTCCAGTGCGAAGACGCTTTAGATTCCAGCTTCCGGAATTTCCCAAGGGGATGAGAATCACTTTAAAACTTATCGCCCTGTGAACAGCCCCGTGAAGGCTCGTCCTGCTCTGAGAACCGGGACCTACCTGAGACCTGCATAGCAACTGTGCCACGGTGGCCATGAGTGGGGCGGATGGGGGGGCGGGGGGGAGGAAGGGGAAGGCACAGAGGGTGGCCAGGCAGGTGGCGACCTGGAGGCTGCTTTCACAGCTGCCCAAAGCCCGCTGGATCCCACACCTGGTGGCCTTTTCACAGCTTTCTGAGGGAAAAGGAAGGTCCCGGCCCCTCCTTAAAGATGAGAGGAAACTTAACAATGGCCCCGCCCCCAGACCCCGTCACCCACGGAAACCAGGGAGAGCACCCAGCTCCCGGAGCAGGGGGGGTCGCGGGGGGGGAGGGGCCTCGGGCTGGAAGATCACTGCTCCCTGACGCTTGATTTGGAAAGCACTGAATGGCGTTGATAGGGCCCCCCACCCTCCTTTCAACAGCTTTAAATTCTCCCCAAAAACAAAAGAGATGAAAAGACCCAGCCCACGCCCCTCCGCCCCACCCAGGGAGAAGCTAGGCCACCTTTATCTAATTACACGCTCCCTGAGCCAGCGGGCGGGGTGACTCATCCCCGACTCCAGAGAGAGTGGCCGGGTTCAGAATCGCCAAAGGCATTTCTGGAGGGGCCGCCTACGCGCCGCTCTGAGCACCAGCCCGAGTCACACCGGCACACGCGACTCTTGCCCCACTGCTGCGTTCACACGACGCGGCGCCCCCACGGGGCCGGCGACGAGGAGAAGCACCAGGGGAAATCGCACGGGAGGGGGCTGAGCCACCAGCCCTTCTCCTGCCTCTGGCTGGACCGGAGATGGTGGCCCCTCGGCCTTGGGGCTGAGAAGCACCAGACTTGCTGGTGACAGCCGCCCAGGCACTGGGACTCCAGCGCGGGCTCGTGCCCCCCAAGGCGGGAGAGCTTCTTTATAACGACCCAGAACGCGCCCCTTGCTTTTCCTTCCCTCCAGACGGGGAGGGGGCGCCTGCGTCTCTGCGTCTCGGTGTCTCCGACGCCCGTCCCAGCGTCTGGCTCTGGGGAGGGCCTCCCTCGATTGTTTGAGGCCGGTCTGAGAGGGTAAAAATAACCTTTCCCTTCTGGGCTGCCCTTTGATCTCCCCCTCGCGGGGAGCAGACGGACTTCCTGTGTTTGGACAACTCCCCCGAGTCGGGCTATTTTGGCCTGGTGGTTTCCCGCCTCCCTCGGCCGACCATCTTTGGTCTCTGCAGGCAGCATCCTTTGATGACAGCCAGCAGGGAGCCACCTCAGCTCCCCACGTCTGGGCCTTTCCTAGGGTTGACAATCCATCGTATTGATTCCTGGGTCTCCACGGGCACCGGAAACCCAATGTGCCACCCTGGGGCTGAGGGGGACGGGGTAAGAGTCAACTGGGATGGGGCGGGAGAGACTTTAAAATGTGGCTTGGGGACCCAGAAGCTTGGGCCTGACCTGGCCTGGAACCCTCAAACAGCCGAGCCGAGGGGCCCCGAGGCGCCCTCTGACAAGCATAGGGGTGGGGACACTGAGGGTGTGAGCCACATCTGAGTCACATGTGGGCAGAGTCGAGGGGGCGACTCCGGTCTCCAGACGCTACGTTCTGCACTTTTCACGGCACCAACACAGCCATCGACGTGTTCCAGGCGTCAAGACACATTAAACAGCCCCCCGGCCAGCCCGTTCAGAGAGGAGCCCCGGCGTCGGCTGTCGCAGAGCTGGCCTTCATCGCCTAGGGCACGGGTCGTGGCAGCCCGCGCCCCCCCACCGGGGGGCTCAGTGTATTACTGGCCGTCCTACCTGCCGGGTCCCCACTGGGTGCTTCTAGGTGCCTCGTGCATGGAGGACAGCCTGGGGTGAAAGGGTCCACCGTGAAACTTGGGGATCCGGCCTGGGGTCCTATGCCACGGGCCTGGTCACAGCCGAGTGCTGGCTGGTTCTGGAACCCGGTCCTCTGTCCATGAGCTTCCCCTGAGATTCAGACCCTGACTCTCAAAACGAAGCCTGTCACCCCCTTCCACACACTGGGTCCCGCACCCCGAGGCGCCGCTCTCTGTGAGCATTTGGGCCTGGGCGGGGAGCAGCGGCCCCGGTGGACACCCGTGGGGAGATGGGCAGCCGCAGTGGCTCCAGGGCTCCCTTCGGTCCACAGTGGTCGTCCCTGGGGTCCTGGGTATGCCCACAGGCCCCGTGGCCCCGGACCTCCCAGGCGAGCCGGGGCCTCAGATTGCAGCTCGAGAAGGGCAGGCTGACCGCGCGGGCCCTCGGCCGGTAGGAACTTCCCCTGACCGCATCCCCTCGAGAGACAAGCCCGAGTCTTCCTGCCCCCGAGCTCCCAAGGACGCCCACCCCCGCACCCCCAGCCCTGGCTGGGGTTCTAGTCATGTTTGTTATTTAAAACCGAGGGGTTTGGGTGCGTCCTCAGAACACAAGACAAAACAAGCCCAGCTGCCCATTCCTCCTCGCTGCCCCTACCGGCAGCCGCTGCCGAGCCTGACCCATCGTCGCCACCAGCCTCGCCGCCCCGTGAGCTTCCGGGGCAACTTCAAGGGGGAGGAACATTTCGGGGTGGCCGTCCACCCAGGGGGCCTGCCACCAGGGATTGTCCTCCAGTAAGGATGGTGGCAGGCCTGAGGGCACCCCTTCCCCAGCTACCCCTGACACCCACAGAGGCTCCTGGCCTCTGGCCGCTCCAGGGCCAACCATCACTGTCCAGGCATTGCCAGTTGTCATTGTCCAAGTGTCCCCTGGTATAACGGCTGAAGTGTCCCCAGGTGTGACTGCCGAGGTGTCCCCAGGTGTAACGGCTGAAGTATCCCCAGGTGTGATTGCTAAGGTGTCCCCAGGTGTAACTGCTGAAGTGTCCCCAGGTATAACGGCTGAAGTGTCCCCAGGTGCGGCTGCCAAGGTATCCCCAGGTATGACTGCCGAGGTGTCCCCAGGTGTGACTGTCCCAGTATCCCCAGGTGGGACTGCCAAGGTGTCCCCAGGTGTGACTGCCAAGGTGTCCCCAGGTGAGTCCTTGGCTCCAGAGCCTGACCCAGGTGAATGCTCACACGGCCCCCGCAGAAGGCCTTGCCCCGGTCCCAGGGCCTGATTCTGGGCTCCGGCCCTGGCTGAGGAGCCCACCTGTCCCTCCCCCAGTCTCCCTCTGGCCGGTGGGGGTTTGGTATGGAGTCACCCATGTTTGGGGGGTGGCCTAGGGTATCTGGCTCATGTCCAGCAGCCATGTGTGCAAGGACCATGTGGACTGAGGACCCAGGTATGCCAAACCCTCAGGCACTGTGACCCCGAGTACGTCGCTTACCTTCTCTGATCCCCAATAACCATCCCTAACGCTACAGGCGGTTGTAATGAGCATGTGTTCTCATCATGTAGCACACTCAGCCCGAGTGTGGCCCCACGACCCTGAACCTCCTTCCCGCTGGCCTCAGATCCACACGTGGGCGCCCAGCACTGGGGCTAACCGCAGGGAGGACATGCTAAACCCAGGCCGTTGCCCCCCAACTCACTGCCAGACCACCCCCACCCCGCTGTGAGGCCCTGCTTACACGACCCCCACCCCAGAGCCCCTGGACAGGGCGGGGGGGGCCCCCTTGTACCTGGCCTTGTGCGTCCTGTTCCCAGACGAGGTGGGGAGGCTGGCGCTGGCGTTGGGGAACGGGGCCTCGGAGGAGGTGTTTGTCACTCTGTCACTGCTCAGCTCCAGGTAGGACCCATTGAGCAGGTAGGCCCCCTCATTCTCCTCGTAGTCGACATAGAGGCTCTCGGCCAGGGAGCTCCTCGGGGCGCCCTGCGCAAAGATGCTGTTGACCGTCTCGTTGAGGGCGAGCTCTCTGGAGTCAGAGCCTGCACCCAGGAGCTGGCCGGAGATGGCATTGGCTGAGAGCAGCTCCCGAGAGGTGAGGCGGCCGTCGGCCTCTGGGTCATCCTTGTCCCCCGTGAGAGCCATCCGGGTGGCGTTGCTGTCTACAAGGGAGACAGGGGCTCAGCTCCAAGCACGCCCCCTCGGAGAGGGCGAGGGCCGCCTGGGCGTGGGGGGCCCGTGGGGCTGAGCCGGGACGCTCCCAGGGGCAGGTGTCTGCCCTATGAGAGGGCACGAGCTCCAGGTGGGGACCCGCAAGCCGGCCCGGACGATCTCCTGGGGAGTCGGCTCGACCTCTGCAGTGGGGTGAACAGGGTTCCCCAAAACACACGTCTGCCCAGAACCTCAGCGTGGGAGCTTATTTGGAAATGGGGTCTGTGTAGACGTAGTTAAGGATCTCAAGGTCGCATCATCCTGGACGTAGGATGGGCCCTTCACCCAATGACCGCTATGTCCTTATGAGAACAGGTGAGGACTGGAGAGATGGTCACCGGGGAGCAGGTGTGTGAGGGTGGAGGCAGAGGAGTGACAGGGACGCAAGCCGAGGACCGGCCTGGCCACGAGCAGCTGGGAGAGGCAGGCGACACTCGCGCCCCCACAGCCTCCGGAGTGCGGGGAGCCGACAGCTCAACTCTGGACTTCCGGCCCCCAGAACGGGGAGAGCACTCACTCCCGCTGTTCTGAGCCACCTGATTGTCATCATCGCTGCAGTGGCCCCAGGCAGACTCTAAAGTATCTTCTACGTAAAGGCTCCAGGGGTCTTGGAAACGACCCCCAAGTTAGTGAGGGGAGTCTCCCCAAGCCTGGTCCACCCTCCAGCCTGAGCAGGAGTGACGGTGCCGACCAACCTTGATGAGCCAAGGCCCCCACACGGGTCTCGGGGACCCTGCCTCCGGATTCGCCACCGTCTCCAGTGGCACCTCCTGCCTCTTCCTCGGAAATCTGCCCCGCCAGACGGAACCTCCCTCTCCCACGCCCTCACCCGGCGAGCCCTTACCCGTTCCTGAGCCCTCAGTTCAGGGGTCGGCCTCCTGAGAACGCGAGGTCCCCCTGTGCCCCCCTCCATCGCCCTCTGTGTTGTCTGTCTGTCTGTCTCTGCCTCCATCAAGTGAGCAAGGGTGGGGGCTAGAGGGTCAGACCATCTGCGTTTGACCCCCAGCCCCTCCGTGACGGGCTGTGCCATGTGGCAAGTCCTCCCTCTGTCCATGGGGACAGCGGCTCCATCTCAGGAACATATGTCGGAGGGCATATGCAGAGACCCAGCTCTGTGCCTGCCAGGAACCGGCACCTCTGGTCAACCGCTTCCGCAGGCCGTGGGGGACGGAAGCCCCTGACCCGAGGCCTCGCTCCCCAGGAAGCCCCCGGCCCGCCCGGGCCCCCCACCCAGTTACCTCGGAAGCCCTTGCCCCTGGGGGGTCCGTCGCAGGCCCCGCCGTCGGCCTGCTCGCAGACCTCGTTGGTCTCTTGTCCTTTGCTCAGACTCAGCTCTGTCCCCAGGCCCGGGGCGCCGAACAGCCGGTTGTCCAGGCCCAGGCGCTCCGAGGAGGCCTGGCCGTAGAGGGAGCCATTGTGCTGAAGGAAGCCCACCAGCTCGGGCCCGTCCAGCTCCTGGCTCTCTGCGCTCTGGGAGGCCGGCTCTGCGAAGCCGTAGAACACGGGCCGGATGCGGTGGGCGTCCGGGGGCTGCCGCAGCGTGTACTCGAAGGTGATGGAGGGGCTCTTGCCGTTCTGGTTCCACACCTGGGGAGCAGCAGACGTGGGACCCCGCCCTTTCTCACGCCCGCCCCCAACCCCCAGTGAGCCAGGCGTGGCTGCTGCCCCCGTGGCCCACAAGCCCCTTAGAACAGAGACGTGCTTGTCCCGCTGCTGTGGCTCACAGCCGAGTCCGCCAGGGACTTGCCCTTGACCAAGAATGCTGCCTGTCCGGGGCTGCACCCCGCCCCGGGGACAGCCCCTGTTCCGGGACTGGAGAACACAGGGGCACCCCTGGAGCGGGCAGAGGGAGCTGTCCAGCCCGGTGCAGGCAGTAAGGGGGTGCACGGAACGTGCAGAACATTCCAAAAGTAAGAAAGCCATCGACCCCCAGCTCATTACATCGCCACCACGTGCCAGGAACCCCAAGTAATGGTGGAGTCTTCCCGCCACCCTCCCACCCCAGAAGCCCCGCTGCCCGCCAAAGTGGGGTGCCATGGCCCCGGCTGCAGAGCCGGCTGTGGGAGGGCTGAGGCCCCTGTTGAGACTGTGCCACAGCCCAGTTCCTCCCTCTGCCAGCCCTGCATCTCCCGCAGTGGGGGTCCTCAGGTTTCTGCCAGGGACCCCGACCTACGGCAGCTAGAGTTGGGGGAAGTCCCAGGAAGCAGACTCCCAAACGGATCAGCCGCCAGCAGGGGTGACGAGAGCCCCACGCTACGGTGCCGGGAGCACGGAGACCCCCAGCCGCGAACTGGGACGGGGGGCAGTGGAAGGGAGCACGCCCGTGGGCACTGCGTCTCAAGCATCGGAGGGGTGGCCGAGGACGGTCATCAGGAAATAAGGGACCATGGAACGCGGAGAGGAGAAAGATGGCTGAGAGTCGAGTTGAAGGCCGAGCCCGAGGGCCTGTGTTTCACAAAGATGCTCGTGTCCTGTAGACGAGTCCCAGAGAACCAGAGAAGGTTGGCTCCTGTGCCCTGCTGAGCCCGGCTGGGGGCGGGACCTGAGACCTGGGATGTGGGGGTCCGAGTCCCCGAACCTTCCAGGCCGGAAAAGTGGCCGTCGGTCACTGCGAAAGCCAGCACCTGCCCCTTGCCGGAAGGTGGCACGGTGACCTCTTCCTTCTAAACTCTGCGACCCACCCTCAGGTCCTTGTCCCATCTTCTCTCTTGGCCACCAGGCCAAGGCTCGGGTCGAGTCCCATCCCTCCCAGTCAGGAGAGCACTGGGGCCGCTCAGGGGAGAAGGGACCGATCAGGACAGAGCCGCAGGCCCGGCCGAGGCCGAGAGCTGCTGTGGGGCCGGCGGCCGGGCGTGAGGGGCTGGATCAGAGGCAGCACGGGATGAAGCTGGACGAGGGACAGCTTCTCCACACGGAGCGCCGTCACGGCAAAGGGCGAGCACGCCAGCACGAACCCCGGGAGGAGCGCCACGCGCCCCCAGCACGGTCCCCGGAAGCCGGAGGAAGCGGGGCCGACACGCA